TTACTGTAATTCTCTTGTTTTATTTTATGTGCTATTCGGTGTCATTCTATATAACCAACCATCTTTGGCTTCGTAACCCACCAGAAAATATTGTTTTCTCTCTTGAATTCAGAATCTGGTACTTAATAAATTCGAATTATGTACCCTTAAAAGCAATGCTACATGTGAATCTATAATCAATTTAATCTTGCTACAGATAATCTGTATGGTTAAAATTATTATTTTAAATGACCAAAATATGATCACAATGACCCTTTCAGAATTTGGCAGTCAAAGGAAGAACGCGGCATATTATATATACATACGAGACAAAATTTTCTTACCAGTACTTAAAAATTCTTACTCTTATTCAAGTTTTTTATTTAAATTATATATAATAAGTTATAATTTATTTATTGACCATTAAATATAAATTAAAAAGACTTGAATCAAATATAATAATTTTTAAATTTATATTAATGTGATAAGATAATTTTCATATATATATATATATATATATATATATATAAACTATATTATGAATGAAGTTAAATAAAACAATCTATCTAGTATTTTTTATAAAAAAAAAATTTTATCAACGTGATTATTGAAGTTAAAATGTTCATTTAATAAATTAAATTTATTAAATTCACATTAGTATAAAATCGAAAGATAAAAATAGTTAATTAATCCTTTTTAAAGCTAATTTAAATGATATGACTATTGGTGTCTCTATCTCTTTGGAAGAGTTTCTAAAGTGCTGTTGGGAGGTCATATCATGCGTTGGGTCAAATTTGTTAAGGCTCCAATAATTGTCTAAGTTAGACGCAGCCACCATCAACTTAAATCATGGAAGATCTTCTACAGAAATAACAAAGACAAAGAAAGGCCTACTCAGACAGAGAAAAGGAACCAGGGATAATGAATTAATTTCAATTAAATAAAGACTCATTTTAATATCAAATTATAAATATTAAATTATTTTAATTTATAAAATTTTACTTTATTTGTTATTATCATTTTATAAAATAAGGAACTGAATTAAAATTTTTGCAAAGTCAAACACTAAAATATTTATTGTTTAAAAATTCATAGACTGAAATAAATATTTATTTAATTTGAATTATCAAAGAGTGTCTTTCATTGTAAATGCTTAAATACTATCAATTTTTTTATCTTTTTCTTTATTCGTCAGTGTTAATAACACACATTATGTTGTACGCAACACTGCTTGGGCCATTAATAAGCAATCCTACAGTAAAGTGGCTGGGCTGTTTGTTTAAGTTATGAAAATTAAGTTACTGGAGAGGGACTGAATTCACAGTTTTGGATTCAACATTGATATATCGATTATAAGTACCATAAACTATTGTTATAATTTGTAATGTCTTCATCTTTTTTTGTTTTCCAAAACTTTTGAGAATTAAAACTTTCGATGCGTTTAATTGTACTATGGTTTTTTTTTTTTTTAACTAAATTTGAAAAGGAGATGAAAGAGAGTAAGCGGATGAAAATGTAGGGTAACCCACCAAAAATGAATAATAAGAAATAAAAAAATAATTTTATAGTACTTTAAAAATTAAGAAGACTTTTTTTTTAATCTTTCATCGTTAATGTTATATTAAATATGTAATATAAATAAGGAAAGTCAGTAATTCGTATTAAAAAAACATAAATAAGTATAATTATCATTTAATTTTTAAAGTATTAGAACAATTATATTCATTAATTTAAGAAACATATAAAATACAATAGTAAACACCAATAAAAAAAAATTAAAACATCCTATTGATGTTTTAATATTTTGATACTTTAAAAACTAAGAAACTGTTACTTTTGAAAGTAACTTTCGATAACTATTCATAATAAATATTAAAAGAAACAGAAAATAATTTTTAGAAACAAAAAAATAAACAAAATTCTTTATCTCCCGAAATAAAGAGTTTTGCTTATTCAGTGCACTTTAAAATAAAGTATAGAATTATGATCTTTAGTTAAAGAATGATATTATTATACACATATTTATATTTTTGTCACAATTTTAATTAATGATCGTAACTTTTTATAACTTTACTATCTAAAATGTTCGATCACTTTATCAAGTCATATCTATGGGCCTCATTTATAATTTAACGGTTAGAGATGCAATAATATAAAAGGCATAAGAAAATGGGTCCTTTGACCTTTCAATGCGTTTATGCTTTACACAACTACTAATTTATCTTGTAAAAGGAAATTACAAATTACAATCAAGTGGTGTTAAAGTTAACTTGTGTGTGTTTGAATCAGTTCACGTGCTTAATCTAAACGCAATTGATACATAATTAATATTTTACTTCCACTCAACACATCACATACTTGTTTATCACAAAACTATAGCATAACTTCGAGGAACGTTCAAGTTCAAAACATTCAATATATTGCAATGAGGCTTTTTTCTCCCTTTTTGATCCATCATTATTTTGGGTTTGGGTCACAAATTTTTTACTTAAATCGTTTGCTTAAAGTAATGAAATGTTTGGATTGGGCCAATACTAATTTGTCCCTCACACCATTTGGAGTTAAGCCCATAGAGAATAGCTTGGCCCATCTGCGTCTAACCTTGAAAACAATGGACCGGACAGTCTTCGACAGAACCAAAAATGAAACTATATAATATTAAAAAAAATCATATATCATCATTAAATTTGATATAAAAATATATGCAACTTAAAAACCCTAATCATTGATCCGAATAACAAGCAGCTCAATATATTTTAAGCAAAATTTTAAGTTTAAATTTTTATATATAAATTTTTGTTCAAAACCTATCACATCCATATATGCGATTAAACCAAACAAAAGACCATACATATATAATCAACTAATATTTAATTAATGATTTAATTAAAAATTTATCAGCTAATGCTTTCATTAGTTTAATTATTAATTTGATTTTAAATAAATTGATATAGAATATTTTTATATTAAAAACTATAACATCTAATAATATTAATACGACAAATTATATTAAATTTTATATCTTAAATAAATACATATTATGTATAGGTTATTATTATGTTTAATATTACACATTAATAAATAAATACCATGTATATATTAAGATTGTACATGTATTTGTTGATTAATATAAAATTTAAAAATTTAAAAAAGAGAAAATATTTAAAATTATAAAATGTGTATAAATAATTTAAATAAAAAAAGTGTTTCTAAAATAAGAAAAAAATAAATTTGAAATATAAGAAATTAATTAAGAGTGTAAGTAGTTGATATTTGAAATGAAAAAAATTAATGTAAAAGGAAAGTTTTTAAAGTATTGAGAAAATAATATTTAAGAAAAATAACAACTTAAAATAGGAAAGTTGGAAGCAAATAATAAATTGAGAATATTAAAAAGTAAAATAAGTGAGAAATAATAAGAGTTTAGTCAAAATATGCAGAATCCTTAATCCGACCATCACCTATTTTTTCAGATGCAAAAGCATTTATGCGAACGTAAGTCAAAAAGTGACCAAAAAAGACACGCAAATGAACAAAAACGTTATATTATATATTATAAATCAGAAAAATTAAATTAGCTTCTGTTCCTTTGTGAACTCCTCAAGTGTTTTGAAGATTCAATGGGATGTGTTTTTAATTGAAGCACTTGGATTTAAAAAGGAAAAAGAAAAAAGAAAAAAAAACATATCTGGGTATTTTATGACTAATTAGTAGGACTGGCTATATAAATTAAACAAGGTCATATTATGATAAATTCTATTTATATATAAATTCTTCTAAATAGTCGTTTATAATTTTTTTCTCCTTCTCCTTCTAATAACAAGAAGACTACCCTTTATTTAACAATGATTTTTATCAATTATCCTTTTTCTTTTTTCCTCTAAAACAACACTCACATTTTTATCTTAGCATCTCAGTCTCACTCATGTTCACTAGCGCAATTGCACCCTCTTTCATAATTCCATGGCACGCACATAGGCACTCTCTTATGAATACATGCATTATATAATTTTCTTTAGAAACTCACATTCTCACTGTTATTTCACAACACACTTTTTTTTTGCCTTCTCTTTTTACTCAATTGCACTCACTTAAAATTTCTAACCTTTCCTTTCTCTTATTCTTGACTTGCTCACACATACATTGTTATATAGCAACCCCATCATTGTTTAGTGGCATTACTCCACACCCATTCATTACCTTCAATTGCGCTACCACCATTTCAAGCACTTCCTAACTACCATCTCTATTTAATGTCACCATCAAGTTTGCTGCAACAACAATCACAATAGAAGAGGAGGAAGAAAAAAACAATAAGATAAGGAAAAAAAAAAAGACATGAATAATAACAATAAAAAATATTTAAAAAATTACTTAAAAAATGTTTAAAAGTGACATAACTATAAAATTAATATATTAATTTTGCTTAGAAAATACCAACCTAACTTTTGTCTAATGCGGTTATTCCTAATCTTATATTGTTTAGAAAGTTTACTCATGCTGTTATTAATTTTATTTTCTTATTAACATTTTACTGCCCAAAACTCATTTCGTATAAAATATTATAAATCTTATAATTGTGTGGTATGTTTTATGAAAGATAATACATAAAAAATTAATTTGTGGAAGATTTTTATTATATTTTGAATATATAGCAAATATAATCAAATACCAATTACTAATAATCTAGATTTGTTCTACTTCTAAAGATAACAACAAAATGAATGAAAATGTGATTGAAGCAGCATGATTTTGACGTAAGATAAAAAAGCTCACAATGTTTGCACGTAAGATTGAATTCATTCAGACAAGGTGTAACCATAAACGATATAATGGTACAAAGGGAATTAACTTAATACAAAAATTGTGTACCGAGCCACACCTCTGCATTACCAATTGTGTGTCTTTCCGCATAAAGCATTGTACCAAACCGAACAAGAAAACAAACAAGGAAGATGTGTATTGTGTCAAATCAATGGGTAACTTTAGCTTCTAGTTCCCTTTATTCGCGATGATGAAATTTAGTCACGACGCTCATACTTTCGAGTCCAAATGTGTTTTCCATTGACCCGAAACTTCGCAGTGTGTTTTCCATTAAGAATTTGATCAACCGTTTCCACATTATTCAAAACCATTGTGGCAAATAAAACTTGATCACTCGTGTCTGAATTTCCCATGTTTAGAACCTTGATACAATCTCCATAGGTACTTGTAAATAAATGCCTCACCTCATTTTCTGTCACAGGAAAGCCCCTAGAAAATGTTAAGAACATAGTTTTGTCATCATCAGTAACATCATCGGATGGCGGCTTGTTATCCCATATCCTCGGATCAGACAAATCTAATTCCACAAAATTTATGGGTGGAACAGTGAAGGTACCAAATAATGGATGAGGAAAACCTGGTACAACAAAGGGTCTATGAAGACTATGTAGTGAGGTGCTAGTGCTACCCAAAATGTTTTGTAAAATATCAGTGAAAATTCTAGCACAAGTTTTATTGAGAATATTCTTAATACCAGCAATGCAAGTGAACCTTTTTTGGCTGAAGAGTTGAAGAGATATTTCCCTATGAATTAAGGAAGAGGTTAGAGGAAGGACACTACCATTTGGGATTCGAGTGTTTTCTAACCCCAACCACTTCAAGCAAGTCTCAGCTTCATTGGCTAAAGTGTTGATTAGTGAGTCTGAAAGATTAGCCAATTTTGAAATGAAATTAAGGAATGTAGTATTTTCTAGCCATAGCCACAAGGCCATGACTAGAAGGGACTGTGCTGGGTCACGAGCCAATTTTATGACCAAGCAAGAGAAGACTTGACGATCCATTTTGTGAAATTGGTGGAGCTGTTCAAGTGTAATGGGGGCCATTATTTGTGGACAGTGATGGGAGAAAATGAAATACTAAAATATTGATTATGAGGAAAATACGAGTTGATGGACCTGAATTAGTATAAAATCATCATTATTTTTTATTTGGTAAGTGCATAGGGCAAACATAATGTCACCAATGTAGTATTCCATATATGATAATTCATGTAAGTGGGTAGTGTTTGCATTAATAGTTGAACGTATTTTAGGAGGTTAATTTCTGGTTATGTTTATCCATTTTTTAAGAGAGCTTTTGAATAATAAGTAATTATTTCCTAAAACTAGTTTGTTTCTAAGCATGCACTCGCTGAAAGGATATTCTATGAAATTAACCTATTGTGAAAACTCAACTAATTTTGCTTTACTGATTTTCTTTTGGACTCCCCTTAAATGATTCTCCCGACTGAATTCATATTTTAACCCCTTGCTTTATTCAAATGTTTTCAGCAAGAAAATGGCTATGTTGTTTGGCAAGCAATAAATGACTGCCTAGATTTTAAAATTTTTATCTTTTTTTTTCTCTTGAAAAATAAAGCTCACATAGTCCTTTTTTTTTCCATGATAAATATGGTTTTTATAATATACTTTTTTTCTATTTTCATCTTTTATTTAAGATAACAATACACAAATTTGAAGACATACAACTAATACCTATAACTATTACAAAATTATATTTTAAATTATATTATACCCTTTATTTATTTTTAATTATCTCTCTCATCATTTGATTTCCTTATATTTATTTATTTAATATTTTCCTTTTTTATTATAATTAATATTATATAGGAGTTGAAAAATTATAAATAAGTGTATATAATTAAGATATGGATATAAGAGAGAAAATTGTAATTAATATCATTTTAGACTTTTAATGTAATTGTATATAATACCATTTTCTTGTGAGAGATGTTTAAATTACATTGTCTTTCCCTCTTATTTTTTAAATTACGCTTTTTATCTTTAAAAGATTAATATGTACTACACTTAATCTATTTTAATGTAAAGGGTTTGTTGGTTGTGATAAACAACTATGAACGAACTACCTAAAAGTATTTTTCTTTTTTCCTTAACTTCTAAAATTATTGATTAATAAATAAAATGATATTTTAAACAGTCATAACATTAGATTTGAAAATTTAATTCAAAATCTTCATTTCACTTTCTAAAATCTAAAGTTCATAACAGATGTTGAAAACCTGTTTCTAATAATGTTGATAGTCATAAAAAATAAAATCACCCCAATAAATTTGTTTACCTTAAAATGGGTTCAAATATAATAAATATTCTCAAAAAGGGAAAACATAATTATTAAACTAACAAAAAATAATATAATTTAAATATATTTAAAACAGGAGAGTGAAATTTACTGTAAATAAATAAAATATTTTTCTTATAAAATAACAGAAGTACACAAAACCACAACGGATCATAAATATATCGTTTGCTTTATAAAACTAAGCCGCTTCAAGATATATTTTTAATATATCTTTTATAAAACTAAAAATGTAAAATAAAAATTTATGTTAAAATAAATAAATATTTTAATTTAATAATAAATATCTTATTATAGTAAATAAAACTAAACTAAAGAGATAGATTTTTCAAAATTTTAAAAATATATAAAAATTCAAAAATATAAACTTAAATAAAGGTTTAACTAAAAATTACAAAAAAAAAAATAATACCTAAAAATATTCTCATTTAAGATGACTTTTAAAATAGTCCCATTTAAAATTAAGATTCATAAATTATATACAAATGAATATTATAAATCCATTAACATCATAATTTCTAGACAAGTAAATAAAAAATTACACAAATTAAAGCAAAAAGTAAGAAAAATTTACAAAACTAAACAAGTTAATAATTTCATTTAGTCATAAAATAAAATTTGTGATCATTAATTACATATTATTATTATTGTTGTTGTTGATGATGATGATAAAACTAAATTAAAAATTAAAAATTAATATTAGTCCATGTGAGTAATTTAACTAACTAAAAATAAAGTTTATATTTAAAAAATAAAATACTTATTATATTAAAAATATAAAATTATAATATATTTCTTTTTAGAGAAGGTTTTACTTTTAGATACTGAAAACTAATACTAAGAGTTAATGTTCAAGAAAATATAAGTATAACATAATTATTTTTTTGTTGTATAGATTACATAGCTTTTTGGAAGACCACTGTAGATAGATGATACAGATCTGAAGGATAAACATTTTCTTCTAAATATTTAAATTCAAGATTACTTATTAAAATAAAATAACTTTATACTACTTGTTCTACGTGGTCAATGTTAAAGTACTGATATCATTAAAAGCATAATAATAATAACAATAATAAAATTAATGCATAAGTGAAAGTATTTTATTTAAGAAAATAAACTCATTTAATAAGGTTAATTTTTATAAAATTTGACGTAAACCTCGATGAAATAAATTAGGGAGAAATTTTAGAAGATTTATAAGCAACTTTTTTTGTAAGCTTATCTAAGTACTTTCAATTTTTTTTAGCGAAACAGTGATACGTTAAAATAAGTCTAGATGAGCATCATATAAATTTTTCCAACGGTTCCTTTTACTTATTTATTTATATTTGATAACATTAAAATTGTGAATTTGTCTTTCTAAAAGTAATAATTAAATGTCATGTTGCTTAACATAAATCATCAACAGTGGTTGAATAATAATAAGGCATAATGGTAGAAGGCACCATATTCATTGAAGCGAATAATCAAAAGATTTTGTTGGACACAACTTTCACCAAATAAATAGACACATTGACATAGTTAATGATAATAAAATTTTACGTCATTTTGTTTCATTTTTTTTTCCACATATTTTCACCTTTATTTATATATTTTTTTATTTTCTATTTTTAAATATTTAGAAAAACACAGGAAAAAAGGACTAACACTATTTTCCAAATAAATGCTTAAAAGTAAATACAAACTAAAAATAAAATAACATTTTAGTGTAGAATAAATTCTAAAATCAAACTGCTTTTAGTAGTTTCTGAAAATCTAGTCATCGTGAAAACTATGAGGTATACATTTAATGTTTGCTTATTCATGTATAAGATTTCCGTCGGTTTAATCATTCATTATTATGACACAATTTTATGAATCAAATACATGAGTTGAAAATTTTATATAATTATAAAAAAAGCATTAAAACACTTAAATTAAATATTTCTCCAAAAATTTTAAATTTAAGAAATAAAATTCACTGTCAAACAATCAGAATATATAATCAATGAATATTAATTATCTATTCGTATAAAAATTCAAAATAATATGGATTGTTATTCTTTCATACATAAATTTAACAATTCATTCTAACAAAATTCATATATATATATATATATAATATTTTTTTTACTTTCTAGACAAAAAAGATATTAGTAATTAAATAGTTAAAATAAACTACGGTAAAAGTTAAATACCCATACCCTCCGTATTAACTATCAAGACCCACCCTGAATATTAAAATAATTCAATGCGACGAAATAAGCATCGGAGTAGATGACAACCAAGGCGACCATCCTATTAACCTTAGATTTTATACTTAAAAATAAAACTAAAATATATCTAATTAAAGCACAGTTTCAACGTCGCAGTAAAACTAACTCAAAACATGGGAGTTCATAAAAACAGCGTAGCTGCCACAAAAAAATACGGTAATTGAAACCGCATAAATACATAAGCCATCACACTGCAATACCTACCGGTAAATCATGGTAAAATGTCCTAGTCTGTAAAACAGGCTCTGGTATCACATTAGATAATCATCAACTGCACCGTTCAAATTAACCCAGTCTACTACTAATCCCATTCAAGCAGTTAAAGCATTGATCCCAAAATCAGATCTACTATGATGGCACTGCAGAAAATGCAAAGGAGATCTAGTCAGAAGAAAGTTGACATCAACAATGCAAAATAGTTGAGAGTATCAAAATCCAAACGCCCAAAAGTTAAAATTTTTAAGGGAGACAAGAAAAATATCGTTATTTCAAGGTACTAAAAATAAGTTAGTGTTTTCATAGTAATGGATGAGAAAACACATACTATAGGTAGAGGTATCAATCTGCTCAGGAAGCTGTTTTATATCCACCTCAAACCTTGACTGAACCTGTAAATACACCACACAAATCAGAAATGCTAATGGAAACAACATTAAAAAAAATGTCAATAAAAGAAATTTCTTACATTATTGAGAACATCAACATCAGTAGAACATGAAACAAATGTGATTGCAAGGCCTTTGGTGCCAAATCTTCCAGCTCGGCCAACCTGTACAAAATCCCTCCAAAAACGTTTGAGTAATTCCATCGAAGTCTATGCTTTAGTTACAAAAAACCTATGCTTTAGTGACAAAAAACCTAATACATAGAAAAAATTAAACGGATCTTATGCAATCATACCCTGTGCAAGTATGTGTCTGCAGAATCGGGCATGTCATAGTTTATTACAATGTTGACACGTTCAATGTCAATCCCTCTTCCAACCAAATCTGTTGCAACAAGAATCCTTGTATGCCCCTCCTTGAAACCTTTATATCGCTTTAACCTACAAATAACAAACAGAGATCATAAACAAATATATACAGTTCAAACAACCACTACCATTGCTGCAATAAATAGAAACAATAAGGCAGAAAATTTATTCCATGGATAGATGGCACCCCACCACTTTCACCACCCTTCATTTACCAGTTTGTAATTGAAAATTTTCTATGGATAGTTTCATTCTTTCCCACCAAACAAAGCCAAAATCCTTAATGCTCTCCAGTACATAAATTACACTAGTATAACAATTGAACAAATTCATTAAGCAATTTCAATAATCCTATTTGGAAACTCCCAACATATTCATCAACTTTTGAACAAAGCAATTTCATTAGGAGTAGAAACTTGTATTCAAAATATCTCACATAAAATACTACAAAAAAAAGATAAAAAATAAAGATAATGAGATGGAATCATCAATCAAACATGAATAGAACCAAAGGTCTACAGCATTCATGGACATCTCATAGAACAAACCTTTCTTCTTGGGACATGCCAGAGTGAATGCATATAGATGGAAAGTTGCACTCCACAAGCAATTTGTCCAGCTCAGCTGCTCTACTAACACTTTTCACAAAGATAACAACTTGATTGAAGTCCAGTGCATCAAGAAGGTCATTCAGTTTCCGATTTTTCTCCTCCTCTTTCAATTTGATGTAGTGCTGTCATGTTACTAACCAATATAAGTCATACAGATCACATTATTTTAAAGGAAGAAAAAAATAATAATTGAAAAGCTGCAGACAGACTACCTGCACAAGTCCATGAAGGGTCAGCTTGGCCTCATCATCAACATAAATTTCCATTGGCTGAAAGGAACAATTTCACAGTAAATCATATTAGGGTCCTTCTTCAAGCTAATGGTATCCACAACGAAAAGAATGATGGATGCAGATCCCCTGAATGACAGTTCTGGTCCATCTGTTTTGTCTCCTTCCTCATACTTTTTTTAGTCACGCCAAGTGCCACTAACACTCTACACTCACAATTGCAATCAACAAACCCAGAATTCCCTAACAACCATCCCCCCTTGTTAATGCAAATGAATGCCCATTCCCCACGAAAGTGAAAGGCCCATACCTGAACACATACCATGTTTAGGGACAAAATAAACTTCGGAGAACAAGAGGGGGGGAAAGGTACACATACAACCACCATCAGGAGCATTACTCAAATATCTACCCAAAACTTCTAGCCCAATCTACAGCCACCAGCCCACCACAAATTACCCCACCCGCTGGGTGTTTCAGTAAAAAGTGGACAAACAAAAAACACTTCAAACAGAACCCCAATCAAAAAGTAAAAATTGATGAAACCATAGCATTCTAAATGTCTAGAAACCTCTCAGGGAATGTGCGCAGTATGAAAAAGAGACTTCAAATTCAAGTAGAACTGGCCATGGGATATTACATCTTGCATAAATTTCTTGCAGACTGGGCGAATTTCCTTGCTGAGTGTTGCAGAAAACATCATAACTTGCTTATCATGGGGAGTCATCTTGAAAATGTCTTGAACATCTTTCCTCATATCTGCCGAAAGTATAATAGGAAAAATAAAAACCATACAGTAAATACAAATCATCCAAAAGTAAAATTCAATTAAAATGACTATTCAACAATGAAGCATACCTAGTGATTCCAGCATCTTGTCGCATTCATCTAAAATGAAATGCCTAACATTCTTTAACGAAAGGTCCTTTTCCCTAGTCAATGCTAGTATTCTACCAGGTGTTCCAACAACAATATGAGGGCATTCATTTTTCAACAGATCCTTGTGAACTTTGATATTGACCCCACCATAAAAGACAGCAACCTTTAGATCTGGTAAATAGGTACTAAACCTCTCAAACTCGTGGCATATCTGCATGGAGGAGATTGCAAATGTTAAATTGGAACTAACCGGAAAACCAAGTTCCAAGACTTTATGTATCGAGTCCCCAAGACTACCTGGTATGCCAATTCTCTTGTGTGGCATAGAACAAGAGCAGAAACTTGGCCAGGAACAGGATCAATCTGCTGCAACGTTGAGAGAACAAAGACAGCAGTCTTTCCCATTCCAGATTTTGCTTGGCAAATTACATCCATTCCGAGAATCGCTTGAGGTATGCACTCGTGTTGCACTGATGATGAAGAAAATAAAACACGGCCGAAGGAACCGAAGGTAAGTAAAATAAACCTTTTCTGACATAATTTGATTTGATGGTGTTACCAAATCATGCTAATTCTTCAAAAGAGGATTGTGTTACAAGTATTACCTGCAAAATAAGCATTGAACAATGGTGGAAGTTCAGTCAACTTCTCCACTCAGGAAGAGAATCAAACAAAAATCATACAAGAATGATATCATAGTCAGGCATTAAAAGTAAGGGCAGGTAAACTGAATCAAACAATTTCATTTTACAATTAAAAAAACACAGTATAAATTTCAAAGAATAATTCTATTAACCCTTACAACTTTTAAATCCCCAAAAATCATCACATCTACCGCAGCCCAAGCAAACAACATGAACTATAAATAAAATGAAAATAAATTGATAATTTGCCTTCGGAAGGATGCTCAAATCCCGAGTCCACAATAGCCCGAAGAAGCTCTGGCTTCAAAAGAAAGTCTCTGAATCCTGAACTGTGAATTCCAACATAGCCCCTACCAATATAAAACAACAGAGAGAGATTAATTACTAATAATAATCGTAGATTTAGGACCTAACTCTGAACAAACTCAATATGCAATGAGGCATCACACACCCTAACCTAGCCCTACTACCCAAACTTACTTCATGCCATAAGAGAAACAAAAGACAACTTACTTCTTTGTAGCCTCGCCGTTGACTTTAGCTCCGACAGAGTCAGGGGCCTTGTCTTCTTCCTCCTCGTAGTCAAGAAGCTCTTCCTCGTATCCTTCGTCCTTTGTTTCTCCCATTATCTGCAAACCACCGTGTCAATTAAATCAGACCATCAACGAAAGTATTATAAAATTTAAACCGATAAACTGAGGTAGAGCTAAAGAAATTACTATCAAACTTAGCTGCAAAAAACCTAAAGATAGAGAAATCTAGGGTTTTAGAAGAGGGAAAATACCTGCGAGATGAAGGATCGTAAGAAAGGTTACGGGTTGGGGGATAGGGTTGGGGTTAGGGTTCCAAAAGAGTCTGCAAAGTAAATTTTGTTAGATGAAAATCAATTTGTGGAAAAGAAACTGAAGAGAGCGAAACCTCCACGAAGCAAACAGCAGAGCGAGCTAGTTATAGATAGTGAATGAGCGAGTCACACCTGTGTCATGCCCCTATTTATAGAAAGCCGCAACCGCCATCCATTACTCATTACTCATTTATTCTGTTTAAGGTACCCTTGCTTGAAGCCATATGTTAAAAAATTATTAACTATGTTTTATTAAATATTTTAATTTTATAAAAACGTGTTAGATATTTTTATAATTTAAAATATTAAATATCTTATTTTAACTTTAAAAATCAATTTTAACTTATTAATATATATATATATATATATATATATATATATATATATATCCTTAGATACAAATTAAAGAATCATTTTACTATACACTGACACTTTTATCATTTTAGCTTAAACGGGAATATTACATATAATGCTGAATAAAACTATATTTTTTTATTAGATGTGTTCAAAAAATGTTATAGATTAAAAAAATAATATTTTATTATCTTATTTTAATTTTATAAAATATTTTTATACCTGTTACATTTATTCTTGTACCATTTAATAATTTTTTGTTGCATGATTTAATCATAAATTCAACCATTAAATTAAAAATTTTAATCACATGTATTGTACTTGTAAAATTTAAGATTAATTTAAAATTATTTAAAAAATAAACGTAATATATATTTTCAAAATATATAAAAATGAGGATCCTTCAATAACAATTTTATAGATGTTTAATTTTAACAAAATTTGACAAAATTATATTTTAATCAGTTAGATCAATAAAAATTATTCTTGTATTAAATTACCAGTAGTTGTAAAAGTGAGTATAACTTACACCAATGAAATTTGATTCTTAACATATTTTAATATGATAATAATCATTATTGTATGTAATGATATGTATTTTCTTTCAAAATAATTAAAAAATATTATTAAATTTGAAAACAATCAAATATAGGAGCGATTGATAGATTATTTTGTTTTTTTCTGTTATTTTTAAATAAAAAAAAAATAATATCTCATTTTTAACTTTATAAATTTATTCAATAACACCATTGGAGCCTTTAAATGCTACGAGATTTATGAGTTTGCCGATTGAGATTGCATTTCATCCTTGTGTGTTTAATAAACTTGTGGATGACTGTGAAGCATAGACATACATGGAAATTGGGATAATTTGCTACGAGCAATGAAATGAAGTGTAGGCATTAGGGGGGAAAGACTAATACTTCGTTTGATTTTATTCAAAAGCAAAATAAAACAATAAAAGAAAATTAGGAAAGAGTATAACTTTTTCTGTTTTTGTTCAATGCAAAAATAGTTGGAGAAAAAAAAAGATGCGTGTTTGTATTCTCCTAACACATGAATAAAGATTGTTTTGAGCGTTAGTATGCTCAATCATCTTCGAGGTACTTATATACCAAACAATGCAAGAGGAGGAATCAAAGTTTAGTTTACATGGAAGTGAATTTATAATTTTTTAAAGTAGAAATAAGGTCGCATTTGAAATCTGATATCTATAAAACATCATGCATGAAGAACTTTGTTGAAAAGAAGGTTATCTCACTAATTAGCAGTGGTATAGACATCATTAGGTGACTTTCATACTGTAAGCTAAGCATACTGTTCTGGAACGAAGTCTAGGGCTAGTCTTGTTGAACTGCCTGATGGCAAGGAGCTTATTTCTTTTGTAGAACCTTATTCATACATATGTCGTAATGGGGAACAGATTAGTTTTGGGCAATATAATTTGGTTCCAAACTGATACAGTATGTTAAAGATTTTCTATTCAATAACAATCTTCACTAGACAGTGGCTAGTATTATTGGTCAATATTGGGAATGGAATATAACTCCATAATCTTTTGCGCGAGACACTTGCAGTGAAGAGACATCTTAGATATCAACACCCCCCCCCCCCCCCTTTTTTTCAGTAGAATTTAAAATCACAATATGAACCCAATCCTTGATATTTTATGGCACTGGAAGGGAACTCACAATCTAAATTATTTATTTGGAAAATGCACATCAAGGCTCTTCTTACCAACGAGGAGACAGTTAGGAGGTATGACAGACAGAAGCACGTGCAACATGAGGTACTAAACCATAACCAGTTAGTCATGCAATGATAGATTGGAATCTGCCAAAGTTGATTTGGAAAGGGATGATTCCTCAAACTTGGCCGAGTAAATTCTTCAAGGTGAACATGAAGGAGCAGTCGCCGCATCACCCGAAAAAGAATTTGGCAAAATATTTTGGCGAACATTCAAGTGGACCCAAGGCAAGTTATGTTTCATTTATGGCATAGGATTAAACAGGTGCTAAATGCTTGATCCGATAAATTGTCAGGTAAACTATTAATTTTTGGGGAATCACTAATTCGTTGGTTCCTTCCACCTCTTCCATACGTGAAAGTCAATATCGATGGAACAAAGTTCGCATATAAGTTTGCTTGTGGCAGTCTGATTTGAGATCTAGTACATTCGACCATTTAGCTAAATTGGGGGCAAGATGCTCTATTCTCCATGCTGCCTTGAGATACAAAAAAAATTACGAATTTTAAGTATTTATACATCAAACAATAAACTACTCTTTCTATTTTCTGCACAAACATTTTTAAACAAAAATATAACATAACACCACAATGAATCAATGATAAATATTAAAGTAGGCTTTTCACAGTAAATAAACCCTAAAATTTGGGACTTATTTTCCTGACATGCACGATACCCTAGGATACCGTCACTGAAGAAAAAAAATGTTCGTGTTCACAAAAGCAGCATACAGAAAACAATTATTAATTAAAATAATAAATAAAACCCTCCATTAATATGCTGTATAATACAAAGAGGCCTAAATTTCCTGTAGAAAATTTAAAATAATTCAATGCACCGGAATAAAGCCTCAGACTAAGTGACAACCGAAGACTAGCACAGCAAAGCCAACACTTGATATTCTGCTTCCAACCTATTTTTGTTGGAAACATGGCAGACTCAGGATCTTCTATTTAAAGACTAGGCTAATAAATCGATGGTCATATATTAATTAAACCGGTTTCAACGTATTAAAACTAAACTCAACACGGATGTTCATGAAACCATCCATCGTAGCTGCCACACAATACAGTATATGAAACCCCATAAAAACATAAGCCATTATACTGCAATATCTAATACTGACAAATCTTTCATGGTAAAATGGCCTATAGTCTGTATAACAGACTCTGGTAGCGACATGGCTAATCATCAGCTGCACCGTTAAATTTTTCCTGCGTAACTACTAACCCATTCAAGCAGTCAAAGCACTGCTCCCAAAAATAACTCTACTACGACGGCACTGCAGAAAATGCAATGCAGATTTAGTCAGAAGAAAGTTGACAACAGTGGCACAACAATTGCAAAAATAAAAGCAAAATCTAAGAGACTCGTAAGGAGGAAACGAATTATCTAGACAGTGAAAACGGTAAATAAAAATTGATAAAAAACTTGAACTCAAAAAAAAATGAGCGGAACAGTAAAATTTTAACGGAGACGAGAAAAATATTGGTATTTCAATTTAGTGTTTTCATAACTTTATCAAACATAGATCCATGCGAAGTGAAGACAAAAAAAAGATTGGCATACCATTGACTGTAGTAAGCCTGGTATGCAAAGTGAAAGCAAGAATCTCAAATAAACATACTGCGGTTGACTGTCTAGAATTGGGTACGAAATTTGAAAGTTGAAATAAGGCCTATTTATTCTACATTTTAGGTTGGAAAGCCCCCATCTCAAAAATAGAATTACCACCTAACATTAAAATTTCAAGAAATTCCAAAAATAACTAGCTCAAGCTTATATGTCAACATCATAAAAACTGCCAACATCCAGGAATTGATAGGCACACCTCTCGCATCTTTCTGTAGTGCAAAGATTTATGTTGATGAAACATAAGTTGGAAAAATAAAATTAAGATTTTCCTTTTGAAACACACTTAAATGAAACTGGTTAAAAATATATAGCAACCTTATTTAATTAGTAAGATTTCATAAAATTCATAAACATTGTAAGAAATTAAAATGCACTAAAATAAAGTTTAAATTGTTACAAAGTAGTAATAGTCATTATATTTCATATTTATATAAATATTATATTAATTTTCAAAATATTTTATAATTAATTTCAATATTGCATACACATGATAAAGTTTAAAATTTGACATAATTGAAATCAAGTTCAAAATTAAAATTCTGAACTTTAACTCCACTTAGGTCAACTATGCAAACCACAATATGAAATAGAACCAATGAATGAAAAATCACATACTATAAGTAGAGGTATCAATCTGCTCAGGAAGCTGTTTTATATCAACCTCAAACCTTGACTGAACCTGGAAATCACACAAAACATAAATCAGAAATGCTAATGGAAACATAAAAGTCAACAGAAGAAAGATTCCTACATTGTTGAGAACATCAACATCAGTAGAACATGAAACAAATGTGATTGCAAGTCCTTTGGTGCCAAACCTTCCAGCTCGGCCAACCTGAACAAAATCCAACCAAAAACATTTGAGTAAGTAATCCCATGTAGCGACATAACTAACAGAGAGAGGACTAAAAGCAGATCTCATCCAATCATACCCTGTGCAAATATGTGTCTGCAGAATCAGGCATGTCATAGTTTATAACAATATTGACACGTTCAATGTCAATCCCTCTTCCAACCAAATCTGTAGCTACAAGAATCCTTGTATGGCCCTCCTTGAAACTTTTATACCGCTTTAACCTGCAAGTAACAAAGATCATACACAAATGTCATCAGTTAACAAACAAATCCCCTCACTGCAATACATAGAAACAATAAGACAAAAATAAAACCTAATACAGCAAATAAAATAATCAACCTACTCTAATGGCAAAACAGAGAAATGAAAAAAGGTTATCAGCAAACAATTAAAGTAGTAAACAAAAGGAGGTCTGGAGGGTAACACCCTTTCCCACCACTTTCATTTATCACCCGTACAATAATAATTTTTCAGTGGATAGATTCATTCTTTCCCACTAAACAAGGCCAAACTAGCTAATGCTCCAGTACATCAATAGCCCTAGTAGCATGATAATTGAACAAATCCATTCAGCCACTCCAATAATTCCATTAGAAACTCCTAATTTACATACTTAACAACTTACAAACAAAGCAGTTTCTTTAGAAGTAGAAACTTATATTCATAATGTCACACAAATAAGCTATTTTGCTTAACTACTGATTATAATATTCCAGATACAATTTTTGGAAGGACAAAAGCCAAAATACTATCTCAATGCTGCATGTAGCTATTTAGAGTAAAGGTAATGACACCTTTTTTTATCATTATTCTTAACTTGCGATTAGAGCAAGGTAACATCAACGCTTCTCTGTAAACATCCACATAAAACCAAAAGATATGCATGTCGCGTTTTCCAGTCCATTCTAATACAGTTCTAAAAATTGTAAGGTGTACAGAAAGTTGGTCCCAATGGTATTAATTGGTTTAAATAATTAAATTTCAAGTTTAAAATAAAGTCATAATATATTCCCAACCCAGTAGTCAAATACAATAACCTACAGCACGTGTTAACCTCTTAAATGAAAAGCCACATCCTTTATTATTTCGTTTTGTTTAACATTTCTCAACAAAAAACAAGAGCATATCCCGTATCTTTACATCCATATCAAATCCCACATGATAGGCATATAAAAATCAATAATATTGGATTCAAAGTTTAAAACAAACAACATTAAAATTTCTACAGAAAAAAGATAAAAAATAAAGATAATGAGAGATTGAATAATCAATCAAACATGAATAGAACCAATGTTCTTCAGCATCCATTGACATCTCATAAAACAAACCTCTCTTCCTGGGACATGCCAGAGTGAATGCATATAGATGGAAAGTTGCACTCCACAAGCAATTTGTCCAGCTCAGCTGCTCTACTAACACTTTTCACAAAGATAACAACTTGATTGAAGTCCAGTGCATCAAGAAGGTCATTCAGTTTCCGATTTTTCTCCTCCTCTTTAATTTTGATGTAGTGCTGTCATGTTACTAACCAATGTAAGTCATACAGATCAAGTTATTTTAAAGGAAGGAAAAATAATAATTGAAAAAATGAAAAACGGACTACCTGCACAAGTCCATGAAGGGTCAGCTTGGCCTCATCGTCAACATAAATTTCCATTGGCTGAAAGGAACAAATTTCACAGCAAATCAGATTAGGGTCCTTCCTCAATGGAATCCACAACGAAATGAATGATGGATGCAGATCCCTTGAATGACAGTTCTTTTCCATCTGTTTTGTCTCCTTGAAGAAACTTTATTTAATCACACCAAGTGCCACTGACACCCTACACCAGCACCCTAAGAAAACTGATAGCGACAAATCCAGAATATCCTAACCTCCTTCCCTCCTCATTAAAGAAAATGAATACCCAATTTGGAGACAAAACAAACTTCCAACATGAACCAAAAGACACGGAGAAGTACATAAGGGCCACCCCATGTAACTAAAATATCCATTCAAAAATTCTAGCTGAACCTACAGACACCGGCCCACCGCACTCCACACCCCATCAACAGGGAGTTTCAGTAATTATGGACAAATAAAGAACGCTATACAAACAGAACCCCTATCAAAAAGTAAAAATTGATGAAACCACTGCATTCTTAGTATCTAACAAGCTCTGAGGGAAACTGAGCAATATGAAAAAGAGACTTCTAATTCAAGTAGTACTGGCCATGAGACATTACATCTTGCATAAATTTCTTGCAGACTGGGCGAATTTCCTTGCTGAGTGTTGCAGAGAACATCATAACCTGCTTATCATGGGGAGTCATCTTGAAAATGTCTTGAACATCTTTCCTCATATCTGCAAAAAGCACAATAGGTACAATCAAAACCATAGTAAAAAGGTAAAATTCAACATAGTAAAAAAGTAAAATTCAAGTTGGTACAATGACAATTCGGCAATGAAACATACCCAGTGATTCCAGCATCTTGTCACATTCATCTAAAATGAAATGCCTAACGTTCTTTAAAGAAAGGTCCTTTTCCCTAGCCAATGCTAGTATTCTCCCTGGTGTTCCAACAACAATATGAGGGCATTCATTTTTCAACAGATCCTTGTGAACTTTGATGTTGACCCCACCATAGAAGACAGCAACCTTCAGATCAGGTAAATATGTGCTAAACCTCTCGAACTCATGGCATATCTGCATGTAAGAGATTGCACATCTTAAATCAGAACTAACCCAAAAACCAAGTTCCATGACTTTGACGTATAGAGACAACACCCCCCCCCCCAACAATTACCTGGTATGCTAATTCTCTCGTGTGACACAGAACAAGTGCAGAAACTTGGCCAGGAACAGGATCAATCTGCTGCAAAGTCGAGAGAACAAAAACAGCAGTCTTTCCCATTCCAGATTTAGCTTGACAAATTACATCCATTCCAAGAATTGCTTGAGGTATGCATTCGTGTTGTACTGATGATGAAGCAAATAAAAAAGGGCCGAAGGTAAGTAAATTAAATCTTTCCTGAAGCTTTTAATTTGATTTGATAGTTACCAAATCAGGTTAGTTCTCCAAAACAACATTGTGATATAAGTATTACCTGCAAAATAAGTATTAAACAAAGGTGGAAGTTCAGTCAATTTCTCAACTCAGGAAGAGGATCAAACAAAAATCAGACAAAGATGATATAATAGTCGGACGTCGAAGATATATTTGTTAACCATTCTGTTAAAACCATCCAAATCCAAAATTTCAAATTATAAAGGAGAGAAAGGAAAGGGTAAATAAGTTGATTTTAGAAGAAAAGAAACCCAGTATAAATTTCAGAAAAAATCTTATAACCGTTACAACTTTAAAATCTCCAGAAATCATGACATCAACCGCAGCCAGGGTACAATAAATAATAACTATAAATAATTATGGAGGTTATTGAATAGATTGCCTTCAGAAGGATGCTCAAATCCCGAGTCCACAATAGCTCGAAGAAGCTCTGGCTTCAGAAGAAAGTCTCTGAATCCTGAACTGTGAATTCCAACATAGCCCCTAACAATATAAAACAGAGAGAGATTAATTACTAAAAATGAGCGTAGATTTATGACTTAACCCTGAACCTCGTGCACTAAACTCGATATGCTTCTAAGAAATGAGTCATTACACACCCTAACCTAGCCCTACCACCCAAACTTAATTTCACCAGTGGAAACAAGTGACAACTTACTTCTTGGTAGCTTCGCCGTTGACTTTAACTCCGACAGAGTCAGGGGCCTTGTCTTCTTCCTCCTCGTAGTCAAGAAGCTCTTCCTCGTATCCTTCGTCCTTTGTTTCTCCCATTATCTGCAAATCACCGTATCAATTAAATCAGACCTTCACCGAAATTATTATCAAAATCAAACGATAAACTCAGATAAGGTTTAGCTCTACAATTTCTAAAGAGAGAGATGTCTAGGGTTTAAGAAGAGGGAAAATACCTGCGAAATGACGGACTGAAGGGAATTTACGAGTTGGAGGGTTGGGGTTAGGGTTCCGAAAGAGTCTGCAAAGTAAATTTGTTAGAAGAAAATCAATTTGGGGAAAAGAAACTCAAGAGAGCGAACCTCTCAGAGATAGGAAGCGGGGCGAGCGAGCTGAGGTGAGCGGGTGAGTGATCGTAAATAGGGTTTCATCACATAAAGCCCCTTTCATCAAAAGCCGCCACCGGCCCAGAAAAAATATATATTAAATTTTCATTTTTCAAAAAGTTTTCGTATATAATTTTCTCTATTAATTTTAGTCATTTGAAATTTATAAGATTTGATATAATATAAATACGAATATTATTAAATTGAACTACATTTTATAAATAAAAATAAAAACATTAGATTTTTACTTTTACATTAATAAAATTTAGAATTTTTATAAGTAATAATTGTTTTTATTATTGAAAAATAAATATTTTATCATATTAAATAGTATTAAATAAAACAAATTTGCATAAAAAGAATTTAATTCTAAGTATATTATGCTAGCTTTAAAATTTTAAAAATAAATGCTAAAATTAGGAGATATCACAGGGTGTAACGAGTAAGGAAATAATTTCTAAAAAAAAATTGTTAAATATTTCTTTAAAATATTCTCATGTTTATTCACCAATTTTTTTACTGAAATTATTTTTTCTTCTTTCTTCTATTTTTTTTTTCTCAAATCAAACTGAGTAATAACATATATATAAGTAGATTAATAGGGAAGCTTAGGTATTTTTGTTGGTTAGATTTTATTTTAGTTTTTAGTGAACAATGGTTAGATTTGATAGAGCGTACTCATGGAATAAAGAAGATAAGCAGGCTTCAATTCTTAAAGGTTCATATCATAGCGCATTCAAAGTGGGCCCAATTGAGCTTAAATTGATACCAAAGACAAATTTGAGGTCCATTCTCGTTAGATTAAAAAAAAAATCTTACTAGTAATATCTATATCCATCATCTTTTCCCTGTATTTGAGTGTCCAACACCAACACCACCATAGTATCCCCTCACCGCTTCAACAATTTTGTTCATTACTAAACCAACTTCAACAAATTAGTGTGATTATACTCAAAATCTTGCAATGGTCCCTGCTTTGTGCCTAACTCCTCCAAGTTCCCTCAAAACCACACCATCACCAGGTAACTACTAATTGTTATCTTATTTTATTCTTGATTTAATGCTAAGCTATTTCTATTTCAAACTTTATAATGCTTAGGTATTGGTATTGAAAGCCATACCAATTCAAAGCATATCAGAGTTAATAACGTGTTTCAAGGCCCTCCCACTACTAAACATTGCTTTATCATTGCAAAGGTATATTTATGCTAATAACTTAAGAGGTGTCTTTCTTGAACATTTATGTTATAATAAAATACGTACTCAAATTACTTGAGGCAATTAGTTATATTTGTATTAGCTAATGTACTAATCGGTTTCTGTCCACGTAGGCTACAAAAGGAAACCAAAAAGGAAATCAAAATACAAAACCGAATAGTGTGATTTGTGCTGATTGTGATGGAAATGGTAAGATGGCATCTGATCTTACATGGCTAGTACATGCAAAGTAAATTTTATTGTTATTTATTTTTTCGTGATGGTAGATGCAAATTATTGGTTTAAGACTATGCTTCTTGTATTTGCAGTAATCGTGTGGTTCTGTTCTGGAACACCTCTTCGTGAACTAATAAAAATAACCAAAAGATATAAAATCGTTTAGTTTTGGTGTTTAATTAACAGGAGCTGTTCTCTGCTCTCAATGCAAGGGTAGTGGGGTGAACTCTGCTGATATTTTCGATGGACAGTTTAAAGCTGGTGACTCGTGTTGGCTTTGCGGGTACCTAAATAAATCATTACTCTCTCTCTCTCTTTACTCTCTCTCTCTCTATATATATACGCACACACACACACACATACATATATTATGTGTTCTATCTGATACAAATAAACCTACTTGTTATTTTAGTTGCATTTTAAAATCATTAAGGTCAACTTTTCTAGCCCGAAAAGTGAAGTAGGGAACTTTGGCATTGGTGTGATAGGCAAGGATTTGTTTATCACATTGGATTTCGTGACTTGTCTTACAATCCTTTTTTTTTCTTTTTTAACTTTTTCTAGAGGCAGGAAGGATATGTTATGTGGGAATTGCAATGGAGCAGGTTTCGTTGGTGGCTTCTTGAGCACTTATGATCAATAAGGATCAAATGATTAGTTGAGTGAATGTAGTGATTGTAGCAATAAACATATGCATGTATATTGTGGCTTCAAATACTTTCTTTCTGTAGATTTTATACCTAGTAATTCTTAGTTTACTTGTAGTCACAGTGGTTGCTTAAAATGAATATAAAGAAAGATGCAGGACACCATCATACTAGTGATTAAGAAAAGGTAGGCATTGTGATGTATTTATTTTAAGCTCAATTCATCTATCAAATATTTCACAGAACTCAAATTGTTGTTGTTACCTTGAGACTTGGGAGAAGGGATTATAAGCACCTATCATGGGTTATTCCCAGGATCTATGCGGCTGCTTGCTTTAGTCTCTTTAGAGCAGCCTCATAAAAACATGAGAAAGATCCATGTTATTCTCAGGATGGATTTGATTGCTTTCTCTACTACAGTTATATTTTTTTCAATCCCCTTGCAACTGCAAAGCCTAGTTATGCAAAGGAGGCAATGAGAAAATGCTTACAGTTGAGCTTCTACCCCTAATTGCTTCCAAGGTATGCAGTGCTGATAAAGTTAATTTGGTGAACATGTTCTCCATATTTTCTATTTCAGCAAGTTCTTTGGGAACATGCATCAGTGTCTTTTTATTCTCATTTCTATCCATGGAGCCACACCCATCTTCCTCAAAATCCTCACTAATTGATGTGCACGGATCATTGCTGAAAAGAAAATTTAGTATCACCTCGCACTCCTTTACAAGCTTGTCAAGCACATCAATCTTGAAGAAGGGCTGGTTTAACACCTCTTGGATAAAAGGCAAGCGAAGTAGTGCGCCAGTTCTCTTATCATATTTCTTTATTATCTTCACTAGACCTACACAAACACTCATCATCAAACAAGATAAATATTCAATCCTCCTGAAATTTGTGCTGCTTTCATTAAAATTATGATACTTGATAAATATATGTTTTCTTTTCATTTTAAAATTCTTTCTGAGATTAAAAATAAGAGAAGACGGAAAAGTAAAAACAGTCAAAAAGTGCATATTTAGTTCAGCTTACATTAGACAACTAGTCGTTTATTTCTTTCAACTTACAGAACTTTTGAAAATAAATCAACATTTCTCTTAATTTAAGCTAAGCAAAACAGGCTAAAATTATTATAAGACTGCAAAAAAAAAAAAATGTTGCATGAAGCACCTTCCTAATCCAATAAATTTATCTTTAACATAAATAAACAAAACACACGAGTCAGTAGTTGATTTCATGCATGAGCTTGAGAACATGCCTGTGTAGTTGAGTGCACTATAGTTCTCTAACAAAACCATCTCCCCATGAAAATCCACTATTTCCCTCCCTAGTGACATCAACTCCACATTTGAATCCATGACTTTGGCAACTCTGTCTTGCAACTCCTACAACACAAGTACAAACCACAGGTCTCAATTTCACAGGAGCAAAAAACAAAAAAAAAAAGGAAATAAATAATGAAACATAGTTACCTTCCATTTAATGATATATTCTTCCTCCTTGTCAACAAAGAAAGCATTGAACTTATCAATCTCAAGCTCCAAGAGGTGAAGGAAGTGGTTGATTTCATCAGCATCCAAACGGGGTGGAGTGAGAGCATCTTTGGGACACATAACCTTCAATTGTTTCTTCAAGTTTTTGTAGGACAAGAATTGGTCACGCCACTCAGGGAGGGTCTGCTCAATCTGGCTCTTCAGGATCTTCCAAAACTTCATGGCAACTCTAATGATCTATTCCTCACTTTTGCACAAGGGTGTTAGTGGAGTTGAGTGGATTGGATTAAAACTAGATAAAGGGAGAGAAATGCTAGTGTTTGGGTTCCGGGGAATTAGAATATTAATGTTGATATTGGAATATCCTTAATGTTCTACACGCAATTTGCATAGGTTTCACCGGTTTTGTGCTAGTGGTAACAGTATAATTCTATTCTGCTCCTTTACTTGCCGCCTTATTAGAATATATTATTCTTTTGGACCAACCTACTACTACACGGTGCTTAGGTTTCATCAACATTCCCATGATGCCCAAATCATAAATTACACTCAAGTGAATAGACCCTAATGTTATAATTTTGTAATCGATGCATCACGTCCAAATCCACCTCTTAAACCTCGAGAAATTATTGCATGCTCCAGAATCATATGATTCCACCTAATGAAAATGCAATATATAAATATTTAAATTAGACAAAATGTGAGTGGTGAAATCATATAATTTCGAATTATCCAAAAATTTATCCTTAAATTTTCTAATTTGCATCTAAAATCTTATTTTTATCTTGACTAGATATAAAATGTGTTAAAGTTTATCTAATAATTATCAAAATTGTAATAATTTCGTTTAAAAGCTGGTATTTTTCTTTGTGTAAACTTTTTATCACTTCAGGCACTCATAAAAATGGGTGTATGGTTAGATATACTATAAAAAACCTCAAACACACAATTTTGATGTAGTTTTTTTTATATTTATTTTCTTCTTCCATTTACTGAAATAGAAACGCCAAGTTATTTATTCAACAATATAAACTATAAAAAAACAATTTAAAACATAATTTAATTAATTAAAATAATATAGTGATCGTAATATTAGTAGTATTCAACTATTTTAAAAACTAAGCCCTAACAAATTATAATGGACCCTGATTACGGATGGGTGAATGGAAAAGCAAAAGCAAAGCGGGAAAAAGCGAGAAAGACACACTGAGGTGAGTGACTCACACTAGCTTTGTTGTTTATAATGTAAATGTAAACTTCGTGGCGAAGGCACCAAAAACTGAATCAAACTAGACTTGACCAGTCAACACCTTTAATCTTTTTCTTCCACTATACAATCGCATTCTCTTCTCATTCTCTTACTTCCAAGGAGGTACATCATTTTCTCTTTTCTTCCTCATCTGCCTACTTTCCCTTTTTTTTATATTATTATTATCAAGATTGTCTCTTGCGTTTAGTTTGGTTAGTGGTTAAGTTTTTGCGCTTGTTATTTGTAATGGGTTGTGCTTCTTCTTCTTCTTCTTCTTTTTTGCTGGGAAATGGGGTCTTATTTGGTGCTTGATTGTGTTTTGAATTGTGGGTCTTACTTATTTTTCCTATTTTAGTGTTGGCATTGAACTATTTGTAGATTTTGTATGTTGTTATATTATTTGTCACTTGTGATTAATGATTATGTACCCGAAGTTAATGTATTTGTGTTTTAGAGTTGATGATACTGTGAGGTATACCCTTCTGTTCTTGCTTCTAAATTCCCCATTTCTGAATCTTTATTACATGAATGTTTTATGGGCTAATGTTCCCCCACCCCTTTTTTGTTCTCAAGTATTGATTTATGGTGGCTGTTTCAGAGGTTAATCAAATTTGGAAATTTGTGTTGTTTAGAATTTACAGACAACTGAGAACATGGACTTGGAAGGAAGTGAAAAGGATTCAGTGGTTACTCAGGTTAGCATTGGTGGATTTGACAGTGAGGTCACAGCAAGTGATCTTGTGACGTACTTGGAAGATAAAATTGGACTTGTGTACAGATGTCGGTTGAAAACTTCTTGGACCCCTCCAGAGTCTTATCCAGAATTTAATATCATTGATACTGCACAGATTAAAAAAACAGATGTCTATCAGAAGGTTGAGCCTCACGCCTTTGTTCATTTTGCATCACCAGGATCTGTAACTACGGCCCTGAATGCTTCAGGTTGTTGTGATCTATTTTTGAAAAATCAACCATTAAAGGTCAGCCGCGGGCCTGAAAATCCATTCTTCCTGAACCAAAGGAGGAGAACTACAATTCCTTTTAAAATGTCTGATGTACTTGTTGAAATTGGGACTTTGGTTGGCCCAGAGGAGTTTTTTGTTGCTTGGAGAGGACCTGATAAAGGCGTAAAATTTCTAGTGGATCCTTTTGATGGCCAGTGCAAGATTTGTTTCAATAGAGATACTGCATTTTCATTCAAAGGAATAGAAAAAAAAGCTGTGATAAAGTGTGATTTTCAGGTGGGATTCTTGGTTAGAGACATTAATGAGATCAGGAGATATAATGACACATCATATCTCGTTGTTTTATTACACCTAGCTTCATCACCTTGGGTTTGGTACAGAACTGCCGATGATGATATTGAAGAATTAGTCCCATTTGATTTGCTGGATGATGATGATCCTTGGATTAGGACCACTGATTTTACACCTAGTGGGGCAATTGGTCGATGCAATTTTTATAGAATTTCAATCCCTCCTCGCTATGGTGCAAAATTGATGAAGGCTATGCTTTATCTGAAAGGACAAAGAGTGCAAGTGCAAGAAATTCCTCTTCGACGACCACTTAGGATACTGGATGAACCTGATTTTGGGGTGTCCATGTCAGATGCCTTCTTCTATATAAATTTTCAGAAGGGCATTGCCTTTGATATACTGTTCTTGGTCAATGCCATCATACACAAAGGCATATTCAATCAGCACAGGTTGTCAGATAGGTTTTTTGAATTGCTGAGAAATCAACCTATGGAGCTTAATGTGGCTGCCCTGAAGCATTTATGTTCTTACAAACGTCCAGTGTTTGATGCAACCAAGAGGCTAAAAACAGTCCAAGATTGGTTGCTCAGAAATCCTAAACTTTATCAGGGTTCTAAACAGTTAGATGACATTGTTGAGGTTAGAAGATTGGTTATTACTCCAACAAAAGCCTATTGTGTACCACCAGAAGTTGAATTGTCCAACAGGGTTCTCAGAAGATTCAGAGATGTTTCAGATCGTTTCTTGAGAGTAGCCTTTATGGATGAGGGCATGCAAACAATTAATGTGAATGCTCTTAATTATTATGTTGCTCCAATAGTGAAGGAGATCACGTCAAACTCTTTTCCACAAAAGACAAGAATATATAAAAGGATCAAGACCATCCTGGAAGAAGGATTTCACTTTTGTGGCCGAAAGTATTCGTTTTTGGCCTTTTCATCCAATCAACTTCGAGATCGTTCTGCTTGGTTTTTTGCTGAAGACAAAAACATAAGTTGCGTTAAAATACGAAATTGGATGGGCAGATTTAATCAAAGAAATATAGCAAAATGTGCTGCCAGGATGGGACAATGCTTCTCATCTACTTATGCAACGGTTGAAGTTGTCGCAAATGAAGTTAACTCCATGCTGCCTGATGTTGAGAGGAATAATTATGTTTTCTCTGATGGCATTGGTATCATCACTCCTGATCTTGCCAGTGAAGTTGCAGAAAAATTGAAATTGGACAGTGTACCCTCTGCTTACCAGATCAGATATGCTGGTTTTAAAGGGGTTGTAGCCTCTTGGCCTGCTAAAGGGGATGGGATCAGACTTTCTTTGAGGCCTAGTATGGACAAGTTTCAATCTACTCATACTATCTTAGAGATTTGTGCTTGGACTAGGTTTCAGCCTGGTTTTCTTAACAGGCAGATCATAACATTGCTTTCAGCACTGAGTGTACCTGATGAAATATTTTGGAAAATGCAGGAGGCTATGCTTTTGAGGTTAAATCAAATGCTTCTGGATCCAGATATCGCTTTTGATGTTCTCACCAAATCATGTGCTGAGCATGGAAATGCTGCAGCAATAATGTTAAGTTGTGGCTTCAGTCCCCAAACTGAACCTCATCTCAGAGGTATGTTAACTTCTGTACGTGCTGCACAGCTTTGGGGACTTAGAGAAAAGTCCAGGATTTTTGTATCATCTGGGCGATGGTTGATGGGTGTCTTAGATGAGTTGGGTGAGCTTGAACAAGGGCAGTGCTTTGTTCAAGTGTCTACTCCTTCTATTGAAAATTGTTTCTCAAAGCATGGCTCAAGATTTTCAGAAACAAAGAGCCTGCAAGTAGTTAAAGGTTTGGTGGTTATAGCCAAAAATCCTTGTCTTCATCCTGGAGACGTAAGAGTTTTGGAGGCAGTTGATGCCCCTGGTTTGCATCATTTATACGATTGTCTTGTTTTCCCTCAAAAGGGTGACAGACCCCATACAAATGAAGCTTCTGGAAGTGACCTTGACGGGGATCTATATTTTGTCACGTGGGATGAAAATCTTATTCCACCAAGTAAGAGGAGCTGGATACCTATGGCTTATGCTGCTCAAGAAAGCAAGCTTCAGACACGTCAAGTCACTACCCGAGTATGTGATTTTTGAATGTTATTCTATGAAGTTCCATAGTTAACTAGCTGTGGGCTATGCATGGGTAATATTACAATGAGATTGTTGTTTTTCATTCATAGCATCATGCCTTTGATTAGTAATTCAGATGATATATGCACTACAAGGACTTGCTGGAAGTCATAAAATTTCATGCTGGGGAAATATTTCTTCTGATCTCAAACATAAAATTTTGAGTATGCTGGAACTAATTCTACACATACAGTCATAGAGTTTGAGGTATATGTTGCTAGTGTGTTGCTTTCTTGCACCTTTACGTGCTCTGCACATTCTTTAACTTGTGTTGTACATATGGTGTTATTTTTCATGTTGACTATGTATTGTGAAAATGAGTCAGCAATTTAAAGTTTTGTCTTCCACACTGCAGGACATCATAGATTTTTTTGCCAAAAACATGGTAAATGAGCATTTGGGTGCAATCTGCAATGCACATGTGGTACATGCTGATTGCAGTGACTACGGTGCCTTGGATGAGAAATGTATATGCTTGGCTGAGCTAGCAGCCACTGCTGTTGATTTTCCAAAGACCGGGAAGGTTGTCTCCATGCCTCCTCAGCTGAAACCAAAACTGTATCCTGATTTCATGGGGAAAGAGCAGCACCAGTCTTACAAGTCCAATAAAATCCTGGGTAGACTTTACCGGCGTATCAGAGATGCTTATGATAACGATATTGATTCTGCTGATTTGAATTATG